GGGAATCTTGGTCTTACATTTGTCATTTGTTTCTCCACTTGGTGCACCTAGATTGGATGATTATTAGTTACATGTTTCCTACCAGTCACTAAAAAATAATGTTCACCAGGGCAGAGCCATGCAAAGAGCTTCAAGGCACACTACATACCTTGCCATGTCTGGTACATTATGCGTGCACGGTATTTCACAGCCAACAGACTGCTTTCACATACATTAGCACCTTAATTCATGGTCAAATAGCCCAGTGACAGAACACGTCAGTCTCATCCACGTGGAGAACTAGACGGGCAGTAAAATTCTTTGCTGAAATCAAGATACATCTCATTTAATGATGTTTTGAAAAAATTCTTTACTGAGCAGCAAGACCACAATCAGTGATTTTTCCTTTGTCTTGCCTGATCATAGTGAATATAAAATCCTATAGTAATGATTGTACAAAGTATCTTCTTAGGTCAATGGTAACAGATTAAGACAGTAAATTAATTTACCTGCTTTCAATGCTTTTGAGAAGTCACGGGGAAAAAAATGATTGTTTTGTCCCAGAATAGTCTTCAACTAATCCTGACGACCAAAACATACCTGAAATTGCTGAGTGAGAGACCTGGATTCACCTCTTCCCGAAGCCTTGTGTGAGCACACTCTTTTCCCCAGAGGGGATGTAATTACGGGGTTTTACTTACTCTCATTCTCCCCCCCCCCGCCCCCCGCACACTTTTTCACCTTGGGAAGGGGATGGGAATGAAGAAAGGGGTGTTTACTGCGTCCCCAGGGTTTGCACATCTTTCTTCACGTGGCCCGCCTAACTACGGTGCACGGTAGGCGCGGGCACACTCATTTCCAGGCAAGGAGACGATTCCCCGGAGAACTGAGACAATTACAGAGCCAGTCAGAAGCGGAGCCTGTGCCTCGTAGAACCCCACGGGCTCCGTGTTGCTGCAGCCAGGGAGGGTGGGCTGGGTGGACCTAGGTCAGCCCTGCGGTTCCCGGAGGGAGCAGAAGAGCGTCAGCAGGGGATGTCCGCAGGGCGCGCCTCTCAGGGGGCGCGC